AAAGGCTATGCACAACCAGATTCTTTATAACAGTGAAAAACAAGACACTATCAAGTTAAAAAATTATGTAAGTCTACATAATGAAATACCCTGGGGCAGGTGTTAACAGTCCTATAGACTAGTCTGTACCGTGACTAGGGGAAAAGAAAAACCATTCAAGGTATAACATTAACTACAAGAGTGCGTATAGTATGCTACCATTGGTATAAATAGTGATGATGACAACGGTGCTGCGACTGAATAGATGAATGCTGAATGAATGTGCAAGGACTATAAGAATCAACCTGAAAGTATTTAAATGTATATATATTTGGGTACAGAATTAGGAAAGATATTTTCATTTTTTGCATTAAAAATTTTAACATGTTTGCCTTTTCCCAATGAGCCTATATTATTTTTGTGAGCATTAAAAAAATAGCAACCATAAGGACTCAAACCATAAACCAATGTCTGGCTGTGGTCAGGGAAGAGGGAGGGGACAGGGAAGGACCCTGATATGGGTCCCCTCCCTCAGGGACAGATGATCAGGCTCGTTCCGCCCTCATGGCCAGTGAAGCCTAGGGGTACTGCAGGGGCCTTGAACTGGGTAGTCATGTACTGCAGAGGTTGCAGTTGGAGGCAAATTTCGTCTCTGCTGCAGCCTTGTCCTTGTTCCTTGTTCCTTATTCCTTGTTCCTTTGGCAGCTAGAGCCTGCTTCTGCCCCTGCTCTTAAATAAATCCTTTAGGAAGAGAAAAAAAGGGGCGTGGAGGGGGAGAGTGGGAGAGAAGAACTGACAGGAAAGAGGGGAGAGGAGAGGCAGAGAGAAGAGAAGATGGAGAGGTGCATTCCTGCATCTCCATGGCCCCGGGAAGAGGGATGTGGAACTGCTCCCCTGCTCTGTCAGGAGTCGCCATGGAGACTGAGTGCTGGCCTCTTCATGATTAATACGCCAAGGCAGCTGTCTTCTTGGAGTCTTTTAAAATACATACACTATTATTTGAACACAATGATATTTAGAGCAGAAAGATCAAGGTGGGTGGGGGAGGGGCAATAGCCTTACCAGAACCATGACGAGGGCTGGGCTTACTCCCCCTGATCTCCCTCTTCTCCCTCCCTGGATCCAGACCGTCCAGCGCAGCATCAGCATCTGAAGGGCCCTCTGAGTGCCTGGCACAGAGCTGTGCTCAGTGAATATTTGATGAATGAATTTGTTCATTCATTAATTCATTCACTCATTGTTTGTCCAGTGTTTGTCTGGAAAGTAAATTTTCCTGCCCCTACCTTTTGCTGTGGAATTGGAACTTTCCTCTCACTCTGCCCAAAGGCCAAGCACACACACACACACACCACCACCACCACCACCAACAACAACAACAACAACAACAACAACAACTTCCACACTGGCTTCCAAGGACCTTGTAGGCACTCCTCCTCAGTACATGCCTAATATGACCCATGGTGTTGTTATCCACGGCATCACTCCAGGGAATTCTTGCAGGGATGGACACCAGCCAGATCGAGTTTACACATTATACCCTACCTGAAAACCTAGCTGGAGATCCTGCATATAAAGTCATCCTAGAGCGAATCCTTTTGTAAAATGAATGGCTTTTTCCTAAATTATCTTGTGGAGTAGGCTAGCATGGGCTTGACTCTCACTCCCACCAATGAATAGAAGTGTGGCCACGGACAAGTTATTTAACCTTTTCAAGTCTATTTCCTTATCTGTGAAATGGGTCTACAATTCCTTTCTCCATAGAGCTTGTGTGATGATTAAATGATATGTTTGTTAAGTGCTCAATGCATGTGATTTCTCTTTTTACCATTGTGTCAAGTTATGTCTTTATATCTGAAATGTGAATTGAAGTGGAGCTCACAGGTCTAAGTTCTTCTCTCTTCCATCCTCTCCTAATGCGCTTTATTCTATCTGGGTCCAGAACCTCTTTTTAAGCTGTTAAAATTGCGGGGGAGGTATAATAAAAGGGGCTGTTTTGTGAAGGACTACAAAATGTCCATTCCACCTTTACATTTCCTCTTCCTCCTCAAGGCACCAAATGCAGATGCAACTGCCCTCCACAGGTAACCATCTGTGTGTGAGAATGTGTGCGTTTGTGTGTTCACTGAAAGTGAGTGGTGCCCATATGGGCGTGTGTGCCAGCCCACACCTAGAGCACAGGCTGTGTTCCCCATCTCCTCTCCTACTCACTCCTCCCTTCCCAGATCTGCCCTCAGGCCTGGCCTTAACAAGAGAAAGTTGCAGGGGGAGTTGGACCCTTGTCTTAATGCAGACCTAACCCAAGGGCTCTTGGCAGAGAGCAGCAATGGCCTGGGAATCTACCAAAGATTAGGGGACTTAACCATGACTAAGATGGAGAAGGAATGCTGTGGCAGAGGGCAGAACAACAGAAGGGACAGGGAACCTGGGGATGGCCAATCTGGCCCGACGGGGAAACCTGGGGAGCCCTGGACACCTGCCTAGCCAAACCCCTCCGCTCCCCCTCCCTCCCAGGCAGCAAAATGCCAGAATGGATTTGAGACATGTGTGCCCTGCATGTCTCGTGTGGACTCACCTGGTCTTGGCAATACATTTGGATTAGAATCAAACTTGGGTCTGAAATAGAGTTTAAAATAATAGTGTTCTGTGTGTCTAATCCTTACAGACATGTGCTGGGTTTCTGTGTTTCCTACATACACACAAACATGTGCTGCTAACATAAAACTCTATCTGTGGCATTTGTTAAAACATGCTGTCCGTGCATGACTCTGAGAAGACCTTTGTATGATTTCCAGACACCAGATGAACGTGTGTCTGCATGTGTTTTGCAAGTGATCATGTGATGACATATTCCAAGAGCACACGTGGAGGGTCCTTGTGGGTTAGAGAATGGGCAGCAAGGAATGGCGATGGGTCTCAGGGTCCTGATAGAATAAGAAACAAAATCTATTTTTTAGTCCACAGTAGCCACTTAAGGAATGAAAATTGAGAAGCTGAATGAATGAATGTTTGGATAATGGACATTGGGTGAAAGGCCTGAGAATTTGGTGGGGCTTGGGCATTCTTGACACTCTTTTGAAAAAGAAAGTATCGGTCAGCAAGGGAGGCTGGGAGATAACACCGCAGATCATGCTGTAGCCCATCCCCCTGAATGGCTTTGGTCTCATTCTCAGGAAGGAGGAAACCCAGGCCTGCCTTCCCCACCATCCAGCACCCAGAATCCAAAGAATTGATGCTGTTTGTAAAGAAAAATATGCTATCCCATATGCTTATTTAATCCCCTAAATTGGTTCCAGAAAGAAGTTAAGTGAGCTATACCACAAAATAAAATTAAATTTAAAAAAAGATGAGGAAATAAGACAGAGGGAAAAGCACAGCAGGATAAGCTCAGGAGGGTAGGCACACTTCTCTGTGAAAGTTGGCTGACATGCCGCCAAGATTAACAGCCCCCTTAAGGTTTGCGTTTTTTGTGTTTTTTGTTTTTTGGTTTTTGTATTTTGAAGCTTTTCAGGAGCCCAGTGATTCCCTGATTCCAGGGGAACTTATCCTGTGTTTTGCTGGAGTCAACATCGTTGCATTTATATGAAGGCAGAAAAAAGTTCTAAAGAATTCTCTCATACCTTGTAGGTGAAGGAAGAGAGAATAGGAATTGGCTGTACTTCAACAGTGGAAAATTTGCCAGTGGTCCTTCAAAATTTTACATAGCATTTGACCCCAATTACACTTTTTGCAATTTATCCCACAGATATGATCAGATATGTTCAGATATAGTCGAGAATGTTAAGTACAACAATGTGAATAAAAGCCAAAGATTGGGGACTTGCTATAGGATCATGGACAGTGGATACATTGCACTCCTTTTACAAAGGAGCATTATACAGCCTTAAAAAAGAGTGGCTGAGCTCTGTATCTTTGGACATGGAGCAATCTCTCAGCTATTATAAACGGGGAAAATTATATTGTAGGGCAGTGTGTATTCTCATACAGCACAATGTTTTCCTGAAAGAATAAACAGGAAGCTTAGCTGTGGCTTCCTCAGGAGGTAGGTGGGTACAATGAAGAGAGACTTTCACTTCTCAATTGAGGATATAACCTTTGGTACTAAATGACTTTTTCCTCTCACCATTATTAGCAAGTAGTATAATCCTTTATAATTTAAATGTTAGTTTTCCTAGAATAAACTTTAAAAAACTATTTATAAACTTAAAAACACATGTGTAAGCAAATGACGAAGAACGGCAACAATCTCTCTGGTTTACTGAGTGCCTCCGCGCCTAGAGCTTAATATGCTCTAACGCAGTTGCTCTTTATAACAAATTTATGTACACACATACACATATCTCCATTTAACAGGTGAGAAAAGTGACATTTAGGGAGATTAAATGACACAACTAGTAAGTGGCAAAGAGTGGATTCCCTCCCCAAACCGTGAAATCCCCAAACCCACGCTGTCTTTTTTCGCCATCCTTCGTCCTCCGCCTCCAGGCGAAAAGCGCACTTATTGGACGGCCGTTCGCACGCGGCGCAGCGACCCAGCCGGGGGCACCCGCGGCCCCTGCGCGCACGGGTCTCCGCGCTTGGGGAGCGCGCGCGCACGCTGCGGCGCGGCCCGGCGGCGGCGGCGACGACGTCACAGCCAGAGTTTTCCTTTTCGGGAGTCCCCGGCACACATCCTGTGTCCATGTTTGGGCATTTACGTCACGGCGGCAGGGCCGGGGCCTCCCGAAATGGCAGTGGCCCCGGGAGTCGGAAGCCCTGAGCCAGCGCTGCCGCTGCTATATAAGTGGGGGGGGCCGAGGTTTTGGGGGAGCCCGGCTGCGCTTTGGAGAAGCGACTAGCAGCCGCTTGAGGCCGGCCCCAACGAGTAAGAACACCACGGCCCCCTGACCCCTTTTGAGGAGGTGAGCACTGGGAGCCAGGAGCCCAAGCGCCTGGGTCTGCGAGGCGCAGGGCGCCCCGACAGCCGGCCTTCCCCGCCGTCCGTGCGCGCCCAAGCCCAGCGGGCGAGGCCCCCGGCCCCCCGCAGCCGCTGCCGCGCCATGCTCCACCTTAACGAGTTTTCCGGCCCCGACTCTCTTCTGGTCAAGTCCTCCGAGGGCTGTTGCTCGGAACCCAGCACCGAACTGCCCCAGCTGCCCGCCAGGGACGCGGCCGCTGGCTACACCGGAGGTAAGGAGCTTGGCCGGGGTTGCTCAGACGGCCGCGCAATGCGGGGGCACACAGTGCCTGAGAACAGACAGGGTCTGGGACGCAGGAGGTGTGGGGGTAGGGATCGTAGGGAGCTCGGGGGAGTCTTGGGGTGCGCACCGCCATTGGCACCCCCACCGGGCCGCCAGCGCCTCCACAGGAAATTGTGCGTGTATCAAGGTGTCCTTTTTGCCTGTGCACGTGTGTTTTGCGTATGCATGTTTTTGTGTGCGTCCTGTGGTGTGTGCCGGCTCCAACTGGATTAAAATGTGCAAAACGGCATTTTATGTGTCAATGCGCACCAAGGGATCCTTGTGTAAGGGCTGCAGACTCTGAGGCGCGCCCTTTCATGTGCCTGGGGTTGATTCCTGCTCCTTCCTCAGCAGGCGACTTCTTGAGCTGGGCTTTGAGCAGCTGTGGCACCGGAGGAGACTTAGCCGACTCCTGCTTCCTGGAGGGGCCTGCGCCCACACCCCCTCCCAGCCTCAGCTACAGCGGTAGCTTCTTTATCCAGGCAGTGCCCGAACACCCGCACGACCCGGAGTCACTCTTCAACCTCATGTCGGGCATCTTGGGCCTGGCACCTTTCCCTGGCCCTGACGTGCCAGCATCCCGGTCTCCACTGGACGCCTCTTTTCCCTCAGGCCCCGACGCCTTGCTGCCGGGTCCCCCGGACCTTTACTCCCCAGATCTGGGAGCTGCAGCCTTCCCAGAAGCGTTCTGGGAGGCCTTGCCCTCGGCTGGCGCCCCGTCGCAGTGCCTGTATGAACCTCAGCTCTCCCCACCCGACGTCAAGCCAGGCCGCCGGGCTCCTCCGGCCTCCCCAGCGCTGGACACTGCCTCGGCCTTCAAAGGTCTCTACGCTCCCTGGGAGCTGCTCTCTGCCGGGGGCCCAGGGAGCGGTAGCTCACAGGGAGGCTACCAGGCCTCCTCCGAGGCCCGTTTCCCCGCCATGGGAGCCAAGATTGAAGATCTGCTGTCTATCAGCTGCCCCGCGGAGCTGCCGGCCGACTCGGCCAACAGATTCTACCCTACGGGGGCTTACGAAGCTTTCCCGCTGGCTTCGGGTAACTTAGGTGAGGGGGTCGAGGGCCTCTCCGGGCTTTTGACCCCTCCTAGTGGGGAAGGAGGGAGTAGCGGCGACAGTGAAGAGTTTCTGGCGGGTGCGCAGCCTCAGCTCTCCCCCCTGAGCCTCTGCAGCGCCGCGGCGGACTTCCCGAAACCTGTGGCGGCGGACATCCCTGGGAACAGTGGCGTGCCTGAGCCTCCTGGGCCGGCGGCCCCATTCCCCTCGGTAAAGGCGCGGCGCAAGGGGCGCCGCGGGGGCAAGTGCAGCGCACGCTGCTTCTGTCCGCGGCCGCACGCCAAGGCTTTCGCTTGCCCGGTGGAGAGCTGTGTGCGCAGCTTTGCGCGTTCCGACGAGCTCAACCGCCACCTGCGCATCCACACGGGCCACAAGCCCTTCCAGTGCCGCATCTGCCTCCGCAACTTCAGCCGCAGCGACCACCTTACCACACACGTGCGCACCCACACGGGCGAGAAGCCCTTTGCCTGCGACGTGTGCGGCCGCCGCTTCGCGCGCAGTGATGAGAAGAAGCGGCACAGCAAGGTGCACCTCAAGCAGAAGGCGCGCGCAGAGGAGCGGCTCAAGGGCCTTGGCTTTTACTCGTTGGGCTTCTCCTTCGCCGCCCTGTGAGGAAGAAATAGGTTTGTAGATTGGGGCACCGCTGCCCGGCGCGCAGGAGAACACAAGACCCGTCCCCCTTCTTCGCTCCTCTTCCCGGCCCAGCCCGAGGCCAGCCTCCGGTCGGCTTCAAAGTTCCCTTGAAGCTCCTGCCGCACACTTTCCGTTCAGCACCAGCTCCGTGGACAGCTCCCGCCGTCCAGGCTCGGTTTCCGCGTGAGCTGCGCTTGAGGGAAGTCCTGTCAGGCCACCCACTGAGCAGGTATTTCTTCGGGATTCAAGACCACGTTTTGTACCTGGCGCACCCCCAACACCGTCCGCTAGTTCCCTGCCCCGCCCCCAGACAGGCCGGGGCAGCGCCGAGCCGGTCTCGAGCGGTATTTTGTACAGCAGTGTCGTTTCCAGCAGCCATTGGATGTAACGTTTTGCTTTGGGGTTATTTCCTTTTGTTGTTAATTTTTGTAAAGCAGACGCTACTCTCAAGCAGTTGGCAAAACTGTTTATTTTTGCAATTAAAATTATTGTGCTAAAAGCTTACTGAATCTGCCATCCAAGCTCTTGACCCTTCCCCCCAAACTCCTCTCCCCTCCCAGAAAATATGTGCCAGAAAAGCAAGGAGTTCCTCACATTCATAGAGTCATTACCCATCTCCTGTCAGGCATTGTGGCACGTAGTAGGTATTCAATAAATATGTAATGAATTAACAAATGAATTTAATCACAGCTAGCCTAAGGGCTCACGGTGTTTCTGGAAGTTTTGCATATATTATCCTCCTTAATTCTCACAGTCCTGAGTGCAGCGTTCATATACTCCATTTCAAAGATCCAGGAAACAAAGTAGTTAACTTTCTGGGTAACCCAGCTAGGGACAGACCCAGTCAAACTCACATCTGTCTGGCTTCAAAGCCAGTGCTTTTCTTTCCAACCCCAGAATGGCGGAACCTCTGCCTAATAGCACTGTTTGGGAAGGCTTCCCATCAAGAGATTAAACAGGTTCCACAACTAGAGGGAGCCCCAGGCAGTGAGGACGGCAGCAGAAGCCAGTGTGTTGGGTGTCACAGAGCCTCCAGCAAGTGCCTGTGCATCTGTGTGGGACTCAAGTGCTGTCAGTGCCAAAAGGGATACAGCGTTCATCTACCAGGGGTGTTCAACCTTTCCGCCTCTCTGGGCCACACTGGGAGAAGAAGAGCTGTCCTGGGCCACACATTAAATACATTGGGACACATAATCACACACACACACACACACACACACACACACACACACACAAATCATAATGTTTTAATTAAATTTGCAGTTTTGTGTTGGGCCACATTCATAGCCATCCTGGGACAGGTGCAGCCCACAGGCCGCAGGTTGGACACCCCTGTTTCTAGACTACTGATGGCAGAGCCAAACCTAGAGAAGAGAGGGTGCATGCCAGAGGCTCACAGCCACCTTAGCTGCTCTTTCCACAAAGCATCTTCCCCAGGAGGCAGCAGCCCCCTTACTGTCCATTTCTGCACCTGGCATAGCCCTCTTTCTCTGACTCTTCTCCTGGTAAATTCTATCTTGGCTTTTTAAGGGGACAGAGCAGCTAAGAGGGTGGTGAGGAAAACATGGCCCTATAATGGGGAAGGTGGCATTTCACTTGGTCACCCTTCCCTCCATGAACTTCTTACCCAAAAGCTTTTACACTCTTTCTGGTCACCTTGGGCAGACTTTGGGACATAAAATGTCTGTCATGCATCCCATCTCTCTTCCCCAACAGCTTCTGTCTGCTAAGGAAAGAATAGGGCCTGTCTGGGAGGCTTCATACTATTCTTGAACTTACAGCCCTGAACAGTGTAGCTCAGTTGATGGGCATCATCCCACAAAGCAAAAGGTCATCAGTTTGATTCCCAGTCAGGGCACATGCTCAGGTTGTGGGTTCATCTCCAGATGGGGTGCATATGAGAGGCAACCAAATGTTCCTCTTTCACATCAATGTTTGTCTGCTTCTCTTCCTTTCTCCCTCCCCCCTCTCTAAAAAATAAATAAAATCTTTTTTAAAAAATAATAATAAAAGAGGGAGCCTTACAATGCTGTGGTGCCAGATCAACTCAGCTTCTGGTCCTTTGGCTTCTTCATCCCTTTGCCCTCGGATGTGTGCACCCTCCACCCCCACAGTCCAGTGGGCCAGAGACAAGATTATCAAGTCAGAGAATTCTACCCACTTTTCTCCCCAGGTGTTAAGTGCTTTCACAGTGGTTGACTATTTTGTATCCAGTAAACAACTTTGTGATAAAAGATTCGGTATTACCTCTTCCAGGAGAGTTAACATTTTTTAAAAAGTAGCCTGCAGAGGGCAATGTTTAACCCTAGAGAGAGGCTCAAATGATGCCAGGTATCGTGATGGGTAACTGCAGTAGATGCATGGAGACAAGCTAATGATGATTCCCACTGTCTTACTGCTTAAGTGACTACACCTTTCATTTATAAGCACAGACCACCTGACTTCATCTTCCATGCTAAGAAAAGAGCACAAAGATTCAGATTTCAAGCAACTGGTCCCAAAACACACAACCTGAACAAAGGAAGAAGGGCAGACAGGCTGCGGGTGGGTGGTGTCTCCCCACCTCGCCCTTACCTCCTTCAGCAGCATGCCGTTGAGTACTGTCCGCTCTATTGTGCATGCTCCATCTTGTATTCCCACCTGTCTAGGCCTAATATCGCTGGTGAGAAAACTGACCTGGTAGTGGTGCTAGTACCACAGCCCAGCTTAGTTCTAGAACCCCAGCCGAGAAGTCCCTCTTGTTACTTCTAAGAGAAACTGCTGCATTTTCTGGAGTGTCCCCTCAGGATTCTGAGAGGAAAGAATGTTAAGCAGGAGGTGGAAAGAATTAAAATCAAGCAATCAGAATATCAATCCAAACCCAGGGCCCAAGCAGAATTAGGGACTAACAGAGCTTATTTTCTTCACTTGATTCTCTTTTTCATTTGGTCCTCACAATGTGGGTGTTTCCCAGACTTGGTTCTGAGCTCGCACCTTTCCTATTTCAACATCCTCCTTGGAGAGCACACTCACCCCCAGGCCTTCATCTGTCACTGCTACACTGATGACTTCTAAGTCAGCCAGCGCTGGCCCCCACCCCAGCTGCAGCCCCTTGGTTCTGACTAATGAACATCTCCATATGGGTATCCCACCACCATTTCAAATACAATCTGTCCAAAATCAAGCCATCCTTCCATATATTCAATTTTTGCTAATGGTAACCATCATGTGTTTGATTTCCTAGACTCACTGAAATAACTACAGTTCTGTAGGATTCACCTTTGACCCCCTCCCCCCCACATCCAGGCTCTAGCTCAGACCTGTTGGATCTCATCGAAATTCTTCAGGGTCTTATCTACTTTCATTCACAGCACATTGTTTCCTTTTATGTGTTGTAGGTTTTATCTCACTGAAGACTAGTTTTGTAAACTAGTTTTGTAAACTAGTCTTCGGTGAGAATTTATCTGGGCAGTAATACTCTGTGGCCTGGGTTGAGGGTATGTTTCTCCTGAGCAATTTTGTTATTTGTTTGTGCCAGGCACTCCCAGAGTGTCAACTAATGGAGACCAATCTTTATGTTAATTTCTTGGCTGGAGGTTCCTGTTCCATGCAGGTGTGGCGTTCACACTCTAATTCACACAGTTATGAATTATCAGAGGCACCTCCTCCTCCTCCAAGCAGAGATCGGGTCAGGACACCTGAGCACTACGTGTATGCCTCCCTCCCCACACTTCCTGGGGCTGATCACAGCACACTTCATGCTTACTTTTCCTGACCTCAGGTCCTTTGCTTTGGTCCATGTAGATTTCCTCTCCTATCTTGCAAGCTCAACTAAGCATTTCAGGTGCCTGCTATATTTTGTGAATCAGTCTGCATATTGTGTAGCAGGAGGGTCTTGAGGTTATCTATTCAACAGTATTGCTGAAAACTGAAGCCAGAAGATGTTGGTTTCTCTGTTAAAATATTTCCCACATTTATCCTCTCTGCGCCTATTACCAGCACCTCAGTCCATGCCAGCCTCCACATTCACAAACACCTTGGTCATGACAATCACAAAGAATCTCATAATAACCTGTAGTTCAAAGGAGCTTATAAGAACATCCAATCTGACTTCTCGTTGTATAGAGGAGGAAACTGAGGCCCAATGAGTTTGGGGGTTTTCTTAAGGGCACCACACAAATGATAACAGATTGAAGTGGGCCTTGAATCTAGGCCTTCCAGCTCCAAGACCAGTGCATACCCACCTATCCAGCCATTCCACAAGTATTATTGAGCACCTACCCTATCCTGGACCAGTTGTTCCCAACTTTTTCTCCTTTCCACTGCATCTGAGAAATTTGATACACACACATCAGTAACAAAGGCTGAATTCAAAGTCCTGATTCTCACTCTGGAGAGACAGGGAAGAGTAATAAGAATCATGATGAAGTGGGGTATGGGGAAAAGTTTGTAAAACAACCCAGAATGTCCTCTTTCCTCCCTTCGCCCCAACCCCTGTGCCCTGTTTGAAATGAGCCTGCACTCTATCACACTTCTTCCTGTGGTCCCACAGCCTCTGTTCTCCCCCTCCATTCCACATTGCACATCATTACTGTTGTAGTTTCCTGAAAACTTTATTCATGGCGTTTTATCCCAAACTGACCACAGCTTCCATCTTCCTATAAAAAAAATACACTTCATTTAAAGCCTTCCATATCTGACCCAAATTCATCTTCCATTCTCCTTTGTCATCTCTCCCTTTGCTCTGTCCTCTCCCCTCCCCTTGTGTATTATTCAAATCTTCCCACCCTTAAGCTCCTTGAAGGGCAGAGACCTTGGTTGTTCACATTGTGGCTGCCATGTCACAAAGCCTACTGCCCAGCAGACTTAAATGCTTCATTATTGTGTGAACCACTGGCAAAAAAAAAAAAAAAAGGTGGGAGCTAAACACCGAAAAGGTGAATGGGAAAGAGGAAGGAAGAAAGGTGGTTAGAGAGCATGAAACAGGGAAAGAATCAGGGGGGAGTGACGGGAAGAAGCAGGACTGAGGCCCTGCACCAAGCCACTGGGTCCCATGAGTGGGACCTCACTTCTGACTAGTCTGTGCCTGTTCAATTCCTGCTGAGTCTATGATTCTCTCCCTTAGCTTTGGGCCCCCAGATGCGTTTGTCATTCAGTTCTCTCTCTCTTTCGGTTTCTCTGGCCCACATGGAGTGGGATTCAGTTTAACGTTTTTAGAACTGTGGTTCCCATAACAACCAAGCAGGAACTGTTGTCTGAAATGTAGCATAGTTACACACTCACATGCACACATGTGCGCACACGCACACACCCACCTGCGTACACACATACATACATACACCCCATACACGTGTGCACTCACTATACATACACACGTCCACATGTACCCACATGTATGCATTCAGATATGCACATACTCACAAAGGTATATCCCTGCATGCACATGCATGTATATACCTATACACAAAAGCATGT